CCTGCCTCTGCCTCCCAAGTGCCACCAACGCCCGGTGGTCTCATTAAGGTGAAAATGATACTAACTATTGCAGGTGGGTCCTTCCCAGAAAGGTCCCCTGCCTCTCCCTGAGGTCTAGCGGGGCCTGACCGGTGCCTCCCTCTGCCTACAGCGCCTACCCTGTGTGTGTGGAACACTTCATGAACTCTACCCTCACCATCCTGGCCAAGGACATGCCCCTGGAGGAGGTGATCAAGGCTGTGACCTCCACAGATGTGGCTCAGTTCCCTTTGGTGGAGACCAGAGGTACTCACTCAGCTGGGGTCCGTGGAGGCTGCCTGGGAGGCTGGGTGGGGATTCCCTCTGAGTGTCAGAGGAGCAAAGGCAAGCAGGGAGTTGGATTTTCTGTGTGACCTGGGAAAAGTCACTTCATTTCTCTGTGCTTTGGTTCATTCATGGATGAAATGGATATAATAACCATGCTATTTCCTAGGTTTGTGTCATGTTTAGAGCCGAGCATGCTTTTGTAAAGCAGCCTAGGGATGGCTCTTGGGATTCTAGTCAGAGATGATGTAGCCATCTATAGCTGCCAAATATCCATGTCTAAAACTGAATTTCTGTAGGAGGACAGTTACCCCACTGTGCCTCTCAACCTTCCTTATCTGGAAACTGAGTGACCAGTGTCCTCAGATACAGGAAAATTGTGTAAATTCCTCTGAGATAAGAGCACCCGGCATGAGGCTGAGGAGACAGCCGCTGGTTAAGAGCATTGCCGTTCTTGCAGGACCCGGCCTTGGTTCCCAGCACTCCCATAGCAGCTTACATCTGTTCTTCACTCTAGCTCCAGGGACTCTGGTACCACCTTCTGGCCTCTGTGGGGACCAGGCACACAGTATACACAGTGCACGTATACATGTATGCAGGCAAAACACTCATACACATAAAATAAAAATAAATACATTTTTAAAACAAGCACCCAAGCCAGGCATTGGTGGCACACTCGGGAGGCAGAGGCAGGTGGATCTCTGTGAGTTCGAGACCAGTCTGGTCTACAAGAGCTAGTTCCAGGGCAGCCTCCAAAGCCACAGAGAAACCCTGTCTCAAAAAAAC